TGTGGATAAATATCGGGGTAGGACGGTAGGATGGAAGGACGGCAGTGCTTTCAAGTGCGTCATTTTGTGTGGCTACTCAAATTGGCCAATCGAACTTATACACATATGATTCCAGTATGTGGTGTTAGACAAGTATCTTCTGTGTTTTATATATTCGTAGATGTTTTTTTTATCATATTTATTTTTTATTTCATTAAATTTACCATACATTTTATCGCACAATAAACAAGCAACGCAGCAAATGTGGGTGTGGACACAGAAAGTGTGAGCTATACAATGAAATCGTACAAATATTATACAATTTATGCGAATTTATAAACAGGCTAAGGCCAAAACAAACACAACCACCACTGCCACGAGTCAAGATATATATATACGAATGTATGTGTGCGTGACTAATAAGCTTGTTACTCGTTACCTGTTGCTGTGACGTTGTTGAATGCTGAGTGTTGGTATCCTATAATACTTCTCAGCTAAATAATAAAAAAAGGTGAAGATTCCATGTTGGAAATGTTTAAATTGCATTACATTAACACAATAGCAGAGAAAATATAATACTTTTTTTTTTGTAACTTTTTTTTTTTAATTAATAATTTTTTAAATAAGAATTGGAGACATGAAAAATCTACAAATAACACAGAAAACTCCGAAAATAAGAGTAGAGCTCAGAAAAGGCAATTTAGAGGCTCTTATTTTAAGCTGTTATAGAAATGCGAAGAAAATACTTAAGTACTCGCCTCCAAAAGCCGGAAAAAACGTTTTTTTTTCAGTAAAGTTTTTTTTTTTTTGAAAGCGAAAAAAATAATTGCGTTAAACGAAGTTTTCAGACAATAATGTACTGTATTTAAGCTTCAGAAAAATTATTTTGAATACCAAAAAAATTGGAATTTTCCAATGTTGTTTTGAATTTTCGGAAGTAGCTCCAGTCTGAACTTGTGAAACGGTGTCGGTGATGGAGATCGCGCGAATGCACCTGAAGCAGTCGAGCAAATTCTTTTTTTAAACCTCTCTTCTGTACGTCTCTTCTGTTTGAACAAAAAAACCAATTCGAAATTTATAAAAAAAATATTCACTTAAAAAAACTAACTTCAAGTTGCAAAGAAAATAGTTTAAATAATATTTTTAAATGTTTTAAATAGAAGATAATTTAATACTGAATCTAGATCACTCTGATTTTTTTTAAGCGAACATACTTATTAGTTTTGCAGTCACCAGCACTGTTTTCTAAAAATTGGAAAAATGAGAATTCGAGATAACGCGCTTCAAAGTTCTGCCCGAGCATTCCAACCTGCTCGACATTCGGCCACTGAAACTGCTCTAGCTTCCAATATATGTCAAATTGGCCACTGAGGTTTTGAAGACATATTATTGGTTAGTTTTAGAATACTCGTAGATTTAAAAAAAAATGCATTTTTTGAAGCCTCTTTAGCATGCCTTAAATAAGTTTAGATGTATTTCGAAAAATTATAGGATAACTTCCTTAAAGCGGTTTGAAAAAATAATTGAAGATAATATTTTATCGGGGAGATACTTGGTAAATACAAACATGCAAACTTCGGCTATTTTGGGTCTAAGGTTTTTGCAACTATCAATATTGTGTCTCCGCTTGAGAGAATATAAGATATGTAACTTCACTGGCTCTACACCTAAACTTAGAAGCACCAACATATCATCTCATTCTAAACATTTGAATAGAGTTAAATTAAGTTAGGTTGAACTGGCGAGTATCGCTTAGACGATAATACGTCCGTGGCAGCTGTGTGGTAGTACACTTCATTTGATCAAGCTGCTCTTCTATATTCCTATTGTATCTCCAGTGAGAATATCATTGCTCTCTTTTCGCAAATTGAAATAGTCGTGTTGGGCGCAGAAAAACCGTAAGTCCTCATTTTCAGCTCTTTAATTTTAGCTACTACAATATATTTTCTGGTGGCCACGGTAGCCGAGTGGTTAGCATTGCGTACCACTATTCGCAAGGTCAGAGTACAAATTCTGGTACTACCAACATCCAAAGTTATAAAAAATTAGGTAAATTTTCCAATTGTGGTCGCCTCTCGGCAGGGAATGTCAACCCCTACGATTGTATTTCTCACATGAAAATCAAGGATCCTCATGGAATAAACCATCTGCCGTTCGGGAGCAGCTAAGTATGAACTGTAGGTCCCACTATTTGTGGAAAAACATCAAGACAAATTGGAGGAGGAGCTCGGCCGAAAATTGCTTTAGCGGGCTTACAAGACGCCAATTATATATATACCGTATATTTGCCGGTGGAATGCTCCAAACTACTGCTCCGATGATGTTGATCATTGAAAGTCTGAAGTCCCCTTCCAGCATATCTAGATCTTGTTCATAGCCTTCCGTCATACTAGAAAACATGGTAGAAAAGTATTGGCTTAAAACTCGCAACGAAAATTCAGTGAGAGAGAGCAAAACAACATTTTTTTACATGTCTATAGGTCAGCTAATGCCTTCTTCACTCGACCTTTTTATGAAAGCTCGCAAATTCGAATGAAATAGTTCAAAAAGTGTTCACAGAGTCGTTCTGTGAAAACGGCAAGCGTTAATTTCTACAAAACAAGCAAGGTTAATGATAAGATTTGAATCAAAACGGAACGTAAAGAGGATTGTTATTTAATATCTGGTAGAATGTTGCCCAGAAAGCGCATATAAAAGCTCCTATGCAGCTTTTGGATTTCAATTGCGGTAATCTATGAACTTTCTTTCCCTTATGGTGGAATGTCTAAGTGAGTGTCCAAGTGACGTCTGAAACAGATTGAAAACTTCAATGTCGGGCGAGTATCCGTAGTGTAAATACTAGATTACAAAACTTTTTCCATGGCTAAGACTAAAGTTCCTTGGGGTACAGATGGCGAATAACAAAAACTTAGTATAGCAAATAGAGAGATTCAACGAAAGTACGTGGGAAAATACTGCGAGCTTTGAACCACGAAGATTTTCTGGGTTTAGCAGAGGACAGAGACTTCACTACATTGAAAGGATATGATTGAACAGAGTTTGATCGTTAAATAACTCCTCCTCCAGGCAGTTTGTGGATCAACTAACTCGCTCAAACAGGTTATCATCGCATAAAACAATACGCGTATGTGCTTATCCAGTGCATTTAGAGGAATATATTGGTATTATAGCTGAAAGTCTGCTTGAACAGCCATGAATGTCAACTCAACACCCTTCACAGGTTAATACCTTTTGCGCACTTCTTTGCGCGGAGTTTCGCAAGAAAGTTTATAAAGCCCTATTGGTTTAAGAACTGAAGCCTTCACTTCGTTCAATGGGTTGAAAACTGTTTGACAGTAGATAGGAATTTTTCATCAAAATTTTCCGATAAAGCTCACTTCCACGGCTATGTTAACAAGCTAAACTGCCACATTTGAAGCTCAGAAAACTCACATGTAACCAGAGAAAAGTCAATGTATCCCCAAGGATTGACCTTTTATGTTGACATGTGGATCGACGACATCAATGGTCCGTTCTTCAAGAACGAGGAAAAGGCTGTCGATACGATAAATGCCGATTATTACCGTGCCATGATAAAAGGTTGTCTGTTCACTAATACTAAAGCTACTAACACGGACAATGTGTAGCTTTAACAGGACAGTCTTGTATATCACACAATCAACGTAACAAGATTAGATTAGAAATACCGATGTGAACTGTCCGCTGTAATTTAACTCCGTTGAAAGCCGCTTTTTTGGAGACCGTTAAAGACCAGTGTTACGTCACAAGACTTGAAACATGCAATAGAAGTCGCCATACGGCACAGCTATAGGGTGCCATACACTCGAAAGAAAGTGTTGAAATTGGGTCAAGAGAAAGGCCAAGCCGCGGCAGCCGTATGAAGTCACTGATATGCCATCATTAATCGAAATGCTGGGGTATTTCAATAAAGGCAAATTGTAAAAAAAATGTTTATCTGTCTTTTTTGCAACATTTTTTTTTGGTTTGCCACTTCTTGCCTCTGCTCGGAAGTAAAGGTCGAGTCTAATCCAGAAATTCTTTCACTGTAATCTGATTTTACTTAAAAAAAATCTCAAAAATTCAGCGATGTGCAGTTGCATCCTCATGAAGAGCTCTTTATGTGTGTGGCGGTTAATTTTCTCACAGGGTTCGCTAAGGATAACTTACAGCGAACAGCACTAGGACTTAATAAGGCAGCATTTACACGTTCTGTGCTGTCAGATTTTTACGGTGTTTATTAGAAAACAATGAATTGGCGCAAATCCATGCAGCAGGTTGATCCACAAATGAGTTGAATCTATGTTTATATATATATGTATTTACAGAGGAGTAAATATGTAATTGTGTTAGTACGTGAGAAAATATTTGTTCACGCACACATACTCGTACACTTGAACGTACACATACGTAGGAAAATAAATGAATTCAGTGCGCATTTTATTGTGAAACGGTCAACAGACATACACATATGTACATACATACTCGTATGTATATACCACAGTCCTAGCACAACCCTATCAGTGTCTAATTTACACGCGCAACAACAAGCAGAAAAAAAGAAACAATACCAAATATGTCTTCATTAGATCGAATGTAAGCCACAAAATGACATATATTTCCATATGTACACACATAAATACGTATGTGTGTGTGTCGGTGTGTATGTGTGTATGTGTATTCACATATTTATATATATTTAAGTTTGCGCATAAGCATAATGAAATGCAAAAAAAAGCTATAAAATTAAATAAACGAAGCCAAAATTAACATGCCTGCAACAGCAACAACAACAACAACAACAACAACATGGTAAGCACAAATGATAACTGTATATTTTCTGAAGTCGTAATTTCAAATATCGCCCGCCCCACTCCTCAATTAAGACACCACACACCCACCCACGCATACACCCCCTCCGAGCTGCGAGCTGAAATGCAGGTGTTTTAAATCTCAGCCAACCTGCGCGCTTGGCTCAGTCAGCCGGAGTATGGGCTTCAGAGTTACAACTCAAAACGCTGCTACACATGCTGTTGGGAATTCAGTTTACGCTCTGTCGTTGACTAGTCCAGTTCTGCAGTTCCACTCCGGGTCGGTAGATTTGGTAGTGTATTGAAGTGCGTGAGTGGAGTTTAAAGTTGGTGTCTTTGGTAGTCTTTTGTATTTGGCAAAAAAACAAAAAAAAAGTGTGTGTTTTAATTACGGGAAAGGAGTTGCTGCTTCGATATGATTCCAACACCAAATATTTTCAATGGTAGCTTGATTCTGTGCTGTTTGATGCTGTACTTCTGGCAGGTGGAGTCCATACACACCGAGGAGGGCTTGGAGCTCTTATTTCGCGAAAGGTAAGTGCTCTGAGTTGGAGTTGTGGAGTGTGATTGATTTGAAAAAGAGGTTGTGGATAAATTTGAAGCTCAAAGTGAGTGGCCTTAATTGGATTATTTGAAGTGAAACTCTTCGTCTGATCACCGTATTTTAACTGCGAAAGAAAAAAGCAGGGAGAGTTTTTGGAATAAATAAACTTAAACTACTCTGATTTACACAAATATCGTAGTCTAGCAACCAAACCATTATTTTAGCGAGTTTAGTTTTGGTTCACGTATTTCAGCTTGTCTTGGGTATTTCTTCCTAGCATCTTCTTCGGAGGCTCTAATATAACTTGTCATCATTCGAGATTATGGATCTCTCATCCAGTCCAAAAACCTATTCTGGTATTGGGACCAAATTTTTTTATATAATAATAATAATTGCGCGTTGATGAGCGCATTAATGTTTTTCCAACAAGTAGGCCGCATGCTACGGCTGGCTTATACGGCTCTGGAGCCCCGATTTTCATTCACATTCGATTGTGTGGCTCTTTATGGCTTCCATGGTGACATCAATTTCGTGCTTCAATTCATGAGTTGTCTTTGAATAGTTGTCGTAGCACTTTTCCTCAAGGTAAATGGTCCTAAAGAGTCAAATGGCAGTTGCGAGGCGACCAGTTGACATCGCTAGCTCAGGTAATTATGCGCAGAAGACCGATTATAACTTTGGCTGTAGACCCGTCCTGTTGAAACCTTACTTCGTGTACGTGATTCTGCTCGTTCAGCTTTTTAAAAGTAATAATCTCTGAACAAATCAACGTAAGGATAATTCCCGTGATGCCGCCCGTCCGCATGCCTTAATAAACAGTCTCTCGTTTCGTTGCATTAACTTTTCCATAGTTCCTGATGGGTTTCTGTGTTTCCAGTGCTGCAGTTTTCTGATTATATACTTAGCAGCAGAGATAAGAATTTGAGTTTTTCGGTAAAAATTTTTATCTTCTGCTAAACGGTCGAAAGCTCATTGATGTGGTGGTGAGTAATGGTTAATTTGATTTTTCTTCAACGCCATCGACGACTTCGCCTGTTGAGTCATAGGAAATTCATTAGGGCAGCAAATCTCAAGAGAAGTCAGTGTTATTATTGAGCCCCCGAAGAAAATCCATACCAGCAGAATGACTGCAGACGTACATTACATTACAGAAGGTCAACCTAAACTAAGTGACGAATGTTCTCTCTGTTAGACAGAAGAACTGTAATCGGAACGCGGTAGAAAGTTGTAAGAATCTACTTCTATAGAGTAACTAGCTAGTTGCCAGTAAAAGCAAGAAGTTCAGCGGACGGCCTTCATACCCATTATGGGTGCGCTGCTCTCAACTCCTATGAAATTCCCTGAAATTCTGCTTAATCTTCTCCCGAGAGGCCTACACGGGAAACTCCATGCTACTTGCAACTCCATAAGACTAAATGCAACTCGACGATGGAGAAACCGCGTAGGGCACGCTCAAACTCTAAACTCTAGATCACTCTCAGAAGAGGTGGGCTACACCAATTTCGCCTTTTGGCTCGGCAATATTTTCTCACCAAAATTTCCGGAGAGCAAGGAATGGGACCGACGGCTCTAAGCTACATAGATGGCAAAGTAGGTTGTGGAGTTTACACTGAACCTTATTGTTATAAAATTAAGTAATCCGACCACTGCAGCGTAGTCCAGGCGGAACTAACCGCTATAACGAAAGCTGTTCCACCTAATATATACCGCTATTACAATACGAGTATATTGTGACAGCCAGGCTGCCAATGCATATCTCCAATGCAATCATACCACCTTAAAGGTGGCAATAAAATGCAGAGAGATCTTAAACAAACTCTGAGCTTATGTTAAATGTCCATGGTTTGGTTCCCAGATTATAAGTAGATCCCAGAGAACTACGTGGTCAGAAAATGAACAGTCCTAAGCACGTTAAACTATGCACAAGACGTGGGCACACCGCTTTCCTCGGTAAAGTATCTCGTAAGGCTAGCCTTCATCATAAGGACGGCCGACAGAGCCAAGAATAATCTGGAATAGACTGCTTCTCGAAATACTTCTGCAACAGCAGCAGGGACATAGATGAGGAGGAATCGGTGAAACGCTTCCACTATCACTGCCCAGCGCGCAGTGCAGTCTAGCATCGTCTGTTATCGCTTTCTTCTTCGATTGACTTACAGAACTTGCATCGGTAGGCGTCACTACTCTCCTGAATTTCTTAAAGTGCGCGATGATTTCTTGATCAAGAAACCTGTTAAACTAATTAACTAATTAAATAACCAGATAGCAGTGTTTTTCCTAAAAAAAACCGAAGGAACGTGAACCTGAGAGACAAATAAGCTGCCTCGGATGGGTCCAAGACATAGAGGACTTCAAATGAACTTACTTCGCACGAGTTCAACTTCTTCCTCACTCCTTTTCATTTCATCAACCTATACACCGTGAGGTCTTGCAAAATATTTTAGACTCACGGGTTATAAACAAGAGGAACAAAAATTTGAATGAAAGACTCTGGCGAGTTTCGATACCGAGTCCTTTTGTGCCGTTTGCTAACAATATAACGGTAAATTCTCTATGACTTGCCAGCTTCATTTTGCTATGTTGCGAAAAAAAAATTAATCAAAAACAACTATTCGCACCCCAAAAACTCCCCTCTTTTCTCTATTACAGATCTCAATCGGATTGGGAAAATGTTTGGCATCAGGAAACCCACTCACGCTGCCGTGACAAATTGATACGCCAATTGTATTGGGCCTGTGAGAAGGACATTTATCGGCTAACACGACGCAATCGCAAGCGTACTGATAATGAAGCACTGCAGAAGAGAAGTAAACGTAAGGCAAAAAGGCAAAAAAATTCAGAAAATAAAGTGTAATAAATCTGAAAATTCATTTCTTTCAGCTGTCGCACGCAACTGGCTCCAATTGGATTATGTCAACACTCTGCTACGCTCGCGACGCGCAGATGCGCCATCCATTACAAACGAATGTTGCACCAAAGTTGGCTGCACTTGGGAAGAGTACGCCGAATATTGTCCATCCAACAAGCGACGCAACCATTACTGAGATGAGGAGGAGGCCAAAGGCTTTGGCGCAATCCGTTGATCATGGACGGAGAATGAGAATCGAAATTTGTTTTTTTTTTTTTGGGACACGAAATAGGAATGAATTGGTCTGAAGAAGAGTAAAATAGGAGAAATACAAATGTAATATATGCATGTAATTATTTATGCTATGAATATTCGGTTATTATTTTGATAAAGAAATGTACAGCTGCTGTTGGAAAGCATTGTTATATAAACAAATGAATAAATGCTTTATGGTATTATAAGGTATAATATATATGTATGTAAATGCTCATTATTGAATGTATGTATGTACTCGTATGTATGGGAATACTATGTATAAATGTATATATGTAAACATATATTTACAGAATTTCTTGTGTTGGCATTAAATTCAATAAATAAAAGGCTAATTTGATTGTTAGGAATTATATTGGGAAGCCCAGGATTCGAGTACTGGCTCGATCAATATCTGAAATAATAGAACAGACAGGGAATATCACGGTTCTCCAAGTGTTTTTATGACATGAAATAAAGGCTCCTCCCCAAGCGCCAGTTACCCCTACATTTTTAAAGAAAAAAACACAGGAAATTCAAATTCAATGGGGAATGTTCATTATCATTTGAACGAAGATTCTGTGGCATTTATGTTTTGAAGATTATCTCTTTCAAATGCTGGCCGCGGCTACGTCTCAGATGATCTCTCCGTGGAGGCCAATTTTTGATGATTGGTTCGAGCATTTCGACTGGTAACTGGCGAATGACACACGTGATATGAAACCAAATGTCGCCGAGATCACGAGCTTCAATTTCGGGCATTAAATAGTAGGTTACCACGGCGTGTTAACGATTGCCATTGACGGTTAAGTTCTCACCAGCATCACCGTTGTTTATTCGGGATGAAAAGGCAGCTCTACAATCCTTCACATGGCTATTCGTCCGTCCCAAATGCGGCAATTTAACTTCTTTACATACTCATTGAGCTAGGAATGGGCCTCATAACTGAACAAAATTTGGTTAGAAAATGTCGGATCTTCTTGGAATTTTTCACAAGCCCATAGGGCGAAGCGACGTCACGTGGTCAAGTCGAATGGCTTCAGTTCTTCCACATTCTTGCACGCATGATTCAGGTCTAGGTTTATTCACTCAATTCACAATCTACTTGCCGCAAAAAATTCAAGCAAAAAGAACTCGCAAAAAGCCATCTTTGTGCCGAGCTAAAGCTTATTAGCGCAGAAGTAAGAAAGCAAGGTAGGACCTGAGAGGAAGCTTTGGCTTTGCGAATGTAGGAAGATCAACAGGCAAGCATATTACATAATCTATCTGGGTAGTAAAGAAGGTTTGTTTGCTGAGCTGTCATGAGATTTAGCTGTACTGAGGTAGACCGAAGAGAACCAGAGACATATAGAAAGTTAAGGAGATTAACGGAAATTACACTCCAAAAATGTTCAGAAGTACAGTGAATTCTGCCTGGAAACATTTGCTGGTCAGAGTGGCTTAAACCAGAGTTTTAGCACGCCAATGTTGTTTCCAAAAAATGGATACGATTTGCAAATCGTTTGAATAGAATGCACACGACCATATTTATTGTATATGAGCCTTGACGACCGTAAATATGAGTAGATCCTCATCTCTTTCTTATATCTTCAATAAAGAGTAGCAGTCCTCCTCCTGCGCATGGGCATTGTATTGCTACTCTTTATTGAAGGTATATATATATTTCTACAGGGTGATTTATTTATACAGTTGATCTTTTGATGTACTGGGATGTGTTATAGCGATAAAATGGTTTGTTTGTTATTATTGTACGAATGCGTTTACTCTGTTGGTCTATGACGAGCTTTCACCGTTATAAAGACCTTAAACCGGAGTTAGAGATCCAACTATACAGAACGGAGACCGTCGTTAACCAGGAAACTACACAGAAACATAGAACTAGATTTAATGTCAAGCCACCGAAACATTCTTAACCTTTAAGGAACTTTATATATTCAGACTTTGAACAAATACACCATAGTTCAATTTCTTTGAGCAGCAGCTTTTGAAGCGACTAATTTGCCGATAATACTGTTGAGGACTCTCCGCTGCTACATATCCAGAGTTTCCTTCTTCAGAACTCTTCACTAGTTCAAAAACTTACACTAAAGGCCTTGTTGCTTCCGTCTTTCAGCTACCTCCTGATACCAGCAGCACATAGGTAAGGCTTCCATAAAATGTACACCATCACCATCGCACTTAATGCCATAGACACACATATGCTTAATCGCCTTAGCCATAATCGACTCTGTGCGTAAACTGTCCTGGTAGCACTACTAATGTCAAAAACCTTTGACATTATCAATAATATGGCACTATTATTGGAGAGATCTTCATTGAAATCTATCATCTGTAGTTTTTTGAGGCCACAATTCAAAACTCAGGAAAAGTAAACAAAGGCTCCTGCAGAGTAGTGTCCTCTCCTCGCTATTGTTTAATTTTTATATTTCGAAGCTGCCTCCACCACAAGAAGGCATATCCCTAGCCTCATATGCCGGTGCTGCTCGATACTGCCAACTCTCCGACTTTTCCTATTTCATCACTGGATGTAAACAATGTGAAATCCTAGTACCACATTGTCTGCTAGATGGAAGACTACCAGCTCCCAATGAAAGTTAAGGTCGATGAACGCTGAAATTCCTACACTGAACAGCCTAAAGTTAACTGGGAGAAACATTCGACAGCCAGCACTCCTGCACTCAGGATTCGTCTATGATTTGGAGGCAATAACATACACGGCAAACGGCCTGCAGGTCATAAAATACCCCACATCGATTTGGACACCGGGAAATAGCGAGACGCAAAGGAAGAAACTCCAATCGTGTCAGAACTCCGATCTGAGAACCGCAACAGGAAACATCTTTCTACACTTACTCAGAGAATCATCTATGCATAATATTATCCTGTGTAAAGAATATATATTAGGATGATACCATCACCCATGCAGGTATAATCGTAGGACACGACGAGTTAAACACAGACCCTTGCACCATTGAAAAAGAGTCCGTAAGCCGTCGAAATAAAAATAGCTCCCAAAGAGCTCGGAACTGCAATTAAAGTCTGGTTGCACTATTAGACTCAACTCTTTCCCATTTGAACTGGACAACGGAATACTGTTGGTATGCCCATCATGGAATAACGAGCGAGACTTGCATCTTTGTATACTCTTTAAAACCTACTCATCTTACACTCCTATTTTTATAGTCTGAACTCATTGAAACATCTGTTTTATGAGGCATACACTAGATGGCCTCGACTTCATAGAAACAAAAATTTTACTCCTGGGCGGATTAAGTAAGCAGTTATAACAACAATAAAAACAACAACAACAAAGTTGGTCCAACTGTATTGTTCTTTCCATCTGCATAGTCAATAACGCAAGCACCGGAGTGCTCATTTCAGCTGTTAAGTCGTTAACGACCTGGCACTGTGTGCAGCTTCCAATCCGTTTATACTGTATTTCTCATCAAGCTCAGTAAAAGCCTCGACTCTAAGACCGAAAACTTCTTAGTAGACACCCATAAATCTCATTTTACCACCCTAAGACCTAAGTAAAGATAATATGAACTCTTCTTTGAAGAATAGTACCAAACATTGGTACATATCTCTCGCCGATAAGTCAAGGCACAGCACATCAAGCTCGATTTTAATACAACAAACTTACACATACATCTTTGTATAAATATTTACGCATGCCTCGGTGATAAGCACCCAACGCCATGAGAATAAATAAACTGCCCCTCAAACCGATTAGCGGGAAGCTCATTTGAAACAGTTGCAAAAATCCGCTCGCCCCGAGTGGATGCTTTCAGTGCGTAAAGTCTATCTGGATGAGCTTAAGCGGCTTATAGTTTGTCAAAATTATGACGTCATATCTGCGGTTGTTGACTGTTTTCTTGATATGCACGTATGACGCAAAAACGGCACCAACAAATAGAGGTGCAAAGGTGACTGCAACAATAAATGCGGCAGAAGAGATGTCTCACCAAAAGGTTGAGCGTGAAAAGAGGAATATTGAAGTGCCGCCACCGGAAATTGTATGCAAAGCCAAGCGCAGCAGCAACGATTACAACAATAAAATATGTGTTATTCTAATTTTAGCTTCGTTTCATGCGTCGCTTTGGTTATTTGGAACCCAATCCCAGCGATTCGGAGTCACTTTATCACGAGTCAGCAATCATAGAAGCCATAAAAACTATACAAAAATATGGAGCCCTCAATCAGACCGGCGAGTTGGACAATGAAACGTTGGAGGTAAGGCAGAGATTGTATATATGTTTGTATGTTCGTGAAGCTAATGTTGCTGCTGATAAGCTCCTATGTAGCACATTGAACTTTAAGTCACTCGAGCTCTATTTACGGTATCGCAGATGATTTTTCATTTTTATTTACTTTTTAAAGCTCTTCAACAAACCACGTTGCGGTGTCCCTGACATTGAAGGCACTCCCTATTATCTCACGAGTAGCACACAACGCTCATTCGTTCAAAGTGTCAGAGACAAAAGACGTGACTCACAACGAGCAGAGGGAGATTCTGCAAAGCGCCGCAAACGCTTTGTGATCGGCGCGCCAACTTGGAGGAAGCGGCGTATACGTTACTTGTAAGTATGTACGAGTGTGTGGTGGTATTGTTCTGAGTAGTTTTGAAATCTTGAAAAGTGAAAGCTCTAAAAAAGAAAAGGAAGCTCGACAAATATATTTCTATGACAGCAGCTAATTGCATACCCACATCGTTTTAATCATAGTAAAAATGACCAGCTATGGCCAAAAAAAAGGAAAAACGCGAAGAAAGCTTTCACTCCAATGCTTTTAAGTTTACTAAAGAACTCTCTGTTTTGACTGGAGAGATGAAAAAACTCAAACTGAAGAGGGAGTGTAAAACCTTGGAAAAAGCGCATTCTCAATAGCTTTTAACCTTACCGAAATACAATTCATTTTGACTGCAGAGAGTAAAAGTCCAGAGAAGTGATATCTTAAAAGATTCTTAGTTTATATATACCACCAGTTTGCACAGAAGACAATAAAAGCTCAGATAAAAGCGGTGTAGTAAAAGCTTTTGAGAATTTCTCAATGATTTTAGCTTATTTTTATTGGTGAGCTATAAAATTTATTTCTAATTTTATTTCAACCAAATTAAGCCAAGCAAATCCCTCACGTGACAAAAAAACAATCATAGATAAGCTTTCACGAAGAAATATATATGTATGGTTTATTTATGGATCCGAACTGCATGCTGGGTAAAAAGCTTCTCCAGCCTGCTGAATGGCAGTAAAAATGAAACATCCGGGATTTGTGATCCCGAAATCTCAATCAATGACAATGGAAAATACATTCCGTTGCCTGACCATGCCGAAGTTCGAATAGCGTTTGACGGCTTAAAAAACCACAATGCGGCTGGAGCTGACGGGCTACAGGCAGAGTTATTCAAACATGGCGGTGAAGAGCTGACAAGGTACATACATCAGCTAGTTAGCAGAATATGGTCGGACGAAAGCATGGCCGACGATTGGAATTTAAGTGTGCTCTGCCCAATCCAGTAAAAAGGGGACCCCATAGTTTGCGCCAATTACCGTGGAATAAGCCTCCTACATATCGAATATATGGTCCTACCAAGCATTTTGAGTGAAATACTAAAGCCCACCGTCAACAAACCGATTGGACCTTACCAATGTGGCTTCAGACTTGGTAAGTCAACCATTGACCAGATATTCACCATGCGCCAAATCTTGGAAAAGGCTCATGATAAATATATCAGCACATACCACCTCTTCGTCGATTTTAAAGCCGCCTTCGACAGCACGAATGCAACTCCTTTAAGACGCTTTGTTTGAATTTGGTAAGAACGTAGAAGTTATACGGCTATGTAAGCTGACCTTGAGCAACACTGAAAGCTAAATCTGGATCGGGCGGGTCCTCTCTGAGCGGTTCGATACCACACGAAGTTTCAGACAAGGCGTCTCCTTATCGTGTGACTTCTTAAATTTAATGCTGAAAAAAATAATACGAGCTGCAGAGCTGAATAGAGAAGGTACAGTCTATAAGAGTATATAGCTGTTGGCGTACTCCGATGATATTGACATTATTGGCCTCAAAAACCGCGCCGTTAGTTCTGCATTCTTCAGACTCGATAAGGAAGCGAAAGGTATGGATCTGGTAGTGAACGAGGCCACAATGAAATATCTCCTGTCATCAAACAAACAGTTATCACATTCGCGACTCGGCTCACACGTCACGGTTGACAGTCATAACTTCGAGGTCGTAGATAATTTTGTCTATCTAGGGACCTGTATTAACACCAATAATCACTCTTGCCCACAGGTGCTAATTTAGACTAAGTAGGCAATCGAAAAGTAAACTCAAAAAGTCTCTTTTCGTTCACTTCCTGCTATAAAGGCCGGAGGCATTGACGATGACAACATCTGATAGGAGTTGTCGAGAGAAAGGTTTTGCGTAAATTTTATGGTCCTCTACGAGCTGGAAACGGCGAAACCGCAGCCGATGGCTGCGCTGGCTAGATCATGTGATCCGGATTGATAGCAATACTCGAGCTGTGAAAGATTTCCACCTGTGAAAGCAGAGGAAGGGGAAAGGTCTGCACTATGTTGGAAAGTCAAGGTTGAGAAGGGCCTGACTGAACTGTTGCCGCCAAACAGGGTAAAAACAGAAATGAATGAATGGACTCAATGTTACAAATTCGGCTATGATCGCGTAAGCGGTGTCTACGCCAGTAAAGAATAATAAACTTCCGCCATGGGTTTATTACTAGAGGCAATACGGTAAGTGCACTCATGCGAGCTGCAGTTATTCGAGCTATAGTCCAAGTCTGAGCAATTAGATCACCCAGAATATCCGAACTTTCAGCAGAGATATCTGAATTCTATTGTACCGCCATAAAAGAATCTCTAAAGGTAACACGCATATGGAGTTTCAGCTTCAAGATGGTCGAAGCGAAGCTCGAACAGAAACCGAATCGAAGAGAAATCTTGGGTTCAAATAATTTGCTTTTCCTTTTCAGCATCGGCAATTGGTCGCAGAAAATTCCGCGCACTCAGGTCGAACGTGACATTGCACGTGCTCTTGCGTTGTGGGCTCAATACAGTGGACTTCGATTTGAACGGACCAATGACACAGATGCTGATATAATAATAGGTTTCGGTAGGCGTTACCATGGCGATAAGTATGACATAAAATAAGGTTAAATAAGAGGAAACTAGAACTCCTTTCGCGCTTTATTGTAGCTTTGCTTTCGATGGACCCGGCAATATATTGGCACATGCTTATTATCCATATGAAATGGGCTCTTGGGGTGGTGACGTACACTTTGATGAGGATGAGAATTGGCAGGAAAACTCAACAGATCTCGCGACCGGTGTTGACTTCTATGCTGTGGCGTCACACGAAATTGGACATAGTTTGGGCTTAGCGCATTCACCACACTACAACTCCATTATGTTTCCATACTATAAAGGACCTGGTGCGGGTACGGTACTGGATTATGATGATACATTGGCTGTGTATTCCATATACTGTGGGTTTGAAAACCAAAAGTATTTTTTATAATTAATTTTCCATCAAATATTTTATTTCAGTGACTAAAGTTTTGGAGGACGACGTCACCACTGCGCCGGCCACAACAATAAAACCAAAAAATGTTGAAACCACCACTTCTATTGATGAGGAAAAGACACTAGAGCAAGTGACGAGGCGCTCGACTCCAACGTTTTATGACGATTATGAAACTGTTAACCAACACAAAGTACGTAAGTGGAAAGAACTTTTAGAATATATATTCAGTTATTGTAAGCTTCATCGGGAGATTAGGTGAGGTTAGGTTCAATTTGATTCCTTTTTCAAAGGTTAAGCGTGACTTGGTATAGAGTTTTGAGGTTTCACTAGATCTCTTAACATAGAAACTCCTAGAAGTCTTAGATGAATTCTAGATATGGTCGGACAAAAGCAGAGGATGTGTTCCAACCCCTCGCTCCCTATAAATGAAGGGATTTACGATCTGTTCCGCCACATTTCTATTGTGTCCACATTTTCGAAAATCAAACCATTTTAAGAGAACGAAACACAAAAGAAAAATGTTCCAGCTAAAAAGATAGGAAAATAATTAGTCCATCTGCCATGCTTTGGAGGGTGTCCGATTTTTAACGACATTGGGTGTGTATTTTACATTAACCATACAAGAATGTTTTTACTGACCGCCTTTGCTAACAAAGGAATTGAAAATGTCTCCCATATCAGGAAGGAATCCATAAAGCCTTACGTGACAGATCAGTTGGACATGACGATTTATACACAGGTTTTTAGTTCCACTCACACCATTGGCACCTGATTCTTTTGCAGACGTCCAGCCGGTTATAAATTACGCCGCACTGATTTGTACAGAAATCTCGAGAAATCAGGAAGTACTTGACCCAACAGAAAAGCTAGACAGGACGAGTTACCAACAAACCGTAAAGGACATTCACAGAGTGTCTAACCATCTTTATTAAATCTCTTTCTCCGTGAAAAGCGTAATCGAAATTCAATCGCTCCCGATCGCTGACCAAGATTTCTGGCACAATTAAGGGATGGACAATTTACCATTCTTAGCTTCTACCTATCAAAATTATTTCTCGAAACGACACTAACCATTATTTTGCATGCCCACCAAAAACAAATTTTCTAACACCTGTCACCTATTGATACGAGCTTGGCCGAAACTACTCGTCTTCTGTAACTTCCGTTAAAGGATATTGACTTGTTGTTAGAGGCGACCAAAAACCAAAAGTGCCCGGAATATAGGGTATTTATACCGGAAGGATCCGGATTATTAACCCGCCAAGGACTGTCACTCCCACAATAATATCCAAAAACTACTTTGGGGAATAATTTTGATGCTATAACAACAACAACAACAACAGATATTCTGTTAAACATTCTGTGTGTTCATGACGGGACAGGATCCGACAAGATAGCTCTAGGATTTTGAGCTTATGAGACCAAGATTACGCGGAAGCTGCAAAGAACTAATAAACTGAGGGTGCTTTAGCTGAATTCCGCCGTGCGGATGTTCCACTTTAGAAACAAAAAATAAATATTAAAACTTCTATCACGTAACGGATTTTAGTAGACCCCTCCTCCGACTCGTTCTCTATAGAAAGATTACCGTCTTAAATTTTGTACGTTTGATTTATTCCTCCGCAATAGCCAACTGGTTAGCATTGCGTACTGTCATTCGGAAGGTCATGGTTCGAGTCCTAGTTCGAATCCAAAACTGCGATTGTCAAACCCTCCGAGTGTATTTGTAACATGAAATCAAAAAACTCCTCGACCGTTTTAAGACGGCTTAGAATAAACTGTAGGTCCTTCCATCGGAACGAAAATCGCATGAGCGGTAACAAATCTCCAATTACATCAATTACATCCCCCCGCCCCTGCGGGTTAGGTGTTCAAGAATTTTCCCGCAGTTCGGAATGCTCGTCGTAAGAGGCGATTAAAATCCAATAGCTCCCCCGACAGTCGGGACTTTATGTCGGAAAGACATGGATTTTTATCCGACCAAGGACTGTCACTCCCGCAACATTTTTGTGGTTATAACAACCACAACAACAGGACACCGTTTTAAGTTGGTTGAGGAGATTAAACGTTACCTTTATGTTATCTGAAAACTGGGTTAGGCCGCCGAAAAGATGACAGCTTTTGGCCGGATAAAATCCGGGTCAAACACGATGCGTAGAACCGGCGATCTTGAAATATGGGAGAATTGGCGCGCTCTCTGAAGGCCATACTAGAAAGCGAATATTTGACGTGCTTCGATAATTGGAAAAAGCGTTGGCATAAGTGCATTGCAGCGGCAGGTGACCATTTTGAAGGCGAAGAAATCGATGTAGAAGAATAAATAAAGATTTTTCATTTTACAAACAAATTCACCTTACTTTTTGCTCACAGAGTTACATTCATATTTAACATATTTACCTACACAGAGTCGGTTTGACTACAACACAACAACACAACCGGAACTATCAACAATCAAGGCAACGTCACGCACACCAACACCAGGAACAACCGCTTTATGGCAAAAACCGGAAATCTCCACTGTGCCAAATATATGTCTTGGCAAATTTGATGCCGTAAGCGTTTTAAATGGTACTGTGCACATTTTCAAGCATGAATATGTTTACAAATTAACGCCGCGGTACACCGTTATGAATGGGTATTTGAAGCTTAATGCAATTTAATTGAAAAAAAATTAACTAAATTAAAAACATATTTTTTTTTTGCTTTTTTTTCAGTTATCCGCTGAGCATTTATGCGCTGTTTCCATTTCTGCCGCCTGCAACTAAACGAATAGATGCTGCTTATGAACGCTACGATGGCGCTGGTGTATTTTTTACAGGTATTTGGCAGAAATATGCTGCTTTTTTGTTTAAAATGTATAAACATTAAGTTTGCCTTTCTTCCAGGCGACAAATATTGGGTTTTCAGGTATGAGCAAGGCACCCAGCCAGCTCTTATTGAAAATAGTCCACTTCCGATAGAGAATTTGATTGATAACGTTGCGAATGTTGATGCAGTTATGCTATGGCGTAAGTTTGAAACTTCCATTTATGTTTATTTCACCACATTTAAATGCTCCATATGCCCGCAGCGAAAAATAATCTGACCTACATATTTGCTGGTGACAAGTTTTGGCGTTTGAATGATCGTTTAAACTCGCTAGATGTTGGCTATCCAAAGTCGATACGTCGTTGGCCGGGCATACCGAACCAAATTGATGCAGCAGCAACATTGACTAATGGCAAAACTTATTTCTTTAAAGATAATCTTTATTGGCTTTATGACAACATCAATATTCGACCGATGCGTGGCTATCCGAGAAGATCGTCAAGCGCTTGGTTGCACTGTGCAGCGACAACAAGAAGACCATTACGTAATCACAATACAACCGTTACTTTTATTTCAACTTAACTTTATCGCCATTTATTTGTTGTGTTCGTGTTTTAGATTTAGTTTTCGTCTTACTTGTAGTTTCAATTTTAGTAAATGACTTAAATAAGGCAACAGGTTTAATACCAAGTGTATATAAATAATACGAAATGAAAAAGTATGTCACACCTAAAGCGCAGTATACTGACGTCAGCAGCAGTGGCAGGAATGGCAGTGAAAGGTGTAAATTCAAATTGACACTGAGAATATGCTCGTATATGGGCAGTAAAACGAAACCGTATATATAACAGTTTTCAATAAGATTCGTCTTGTAATCCCGTAATGGTGTGTATAAACGCACCATTTGTCCATACATGAGAAACATGTAAAACAGATAGAGCGCATAGCGCAGCACTAGCAGCGAAGTTTCGAAAAGTAATGGGAAAAGCGAAAAATATCCAACTACACTGAGCAAGAACGCATGCTTGGCGTCTGTGGGATAAAGATGAAACAGCAAACTGAAAATAATAAAAGAAATGATAATTAAAATTATTATACTAGTGCGGCAAATACTTACCATAATGGTATGAGGCTCATAAGTATAGCCTTTTCATGTACATGCCAACCAAACATGAAAGCAGAGCAGGAACAGATGACAATAGCGCGCAAAAAGGTAGCTTTCGCATCTCTTTTAATATGAAATAATATTAAATTTTATAAATTAAAATTGAAAATTTATAAATTTTGTACCTTAACGGCGTATACGCTAAAAGTTTTATCATTATCGGCAACATAGAGAGCAGGGTTAGCACAAATGTTGTGCGCGGTGTTATATTCGGTAAAACTAACGGCGCGAACTCTTTCACAAGTCCCGAGCTGGTTGTTGGGCCGGTTTTTGTTGTTATGCCCAAAAGTTTTGCCGCAACTTTGTCGCCAACATTATATAACGCCCAGAAGTTAGGCGCCCAATAAGCATGAGTCAAGCCACGCTTGAAAGGAAAGAGACGTTTTAACACCTGAAAATATAAGCAAATATGAAAACCTGTAGAATTTTAATTTAATGCCCAAAAATGTTCACCTGTTCCATTTGATTGTGAAATGGCGCGAAGGATATGACAAAAGGTATTAACCCAAAAACTAATAATTTGGTGATACAAATAAATTTATTCCGCCCCTTTGCCAGGCAATAAAATTTCAGCAGGTAAATAGCGTAAGCTGGTGCGATATATAAGAATATATGTTTAAAATTTAATAAAATTGCAAAAATGAATGCTGAGAGCACATAACGTTCCTCCAACATATAACTTATGCTCAGCAAGAGTATACCGAATAGAAAGCCATTATATTGAAAATGTATATGATCGATAAATAACAATCCCACATTAAATAAAAGCAACGATGCCGTCGCGAGATACTGTTGTGATTTTAGCGGTACATTCGAAACACGTAGACAACGATAAACGCCAATTGCGTAAAGGAAATCCATCAATATCACCGAACATCGTTGAAAGTAAATCGTGGCTATCGTGTTATAATTGAGTTTGTGAAGATTTAGCATTTCTTTGTCGACATAGTAGGCAACATACGCCAGCATACGCTCAAAGTATGCAAAGAATGGTGGATAGTCCAGGGTCCATTGACTAGTTTCATCAACATACCATTTGTTGATGGGTAAAGAATGTGTGATTGCCAACCAATTGCGATGCACCTCAAAATCTGTGGAATGGCTGGATGGAAAGAAGAAATGATTAGATATTGAAGTGCTAAACAAAAATATTAAATAATTCATTTAAAACTCTGTATCTCGCTTTACTGCTTTTTGGTTATATACGTTGTTTGTAAGAGTTGTTCAATTTGTACTTCAGCCCAAAAGTGTTTGTTTGTACACGTCATCAACGACCGTGCATACACCGCCTTTTATCTTTAGTACGACAAATAATAAATCACTGCACTCCAGCTCTGGCTTTGATACGCTAATATCCTTCCACTTTGATAACATTTTTTGAAATCCATTCAAAGCGTTACAGAAAATAAGTGAATCTTCCGGAGCTATCAAACAGTAGGTTTTTACTGAACTTCAAGTAATCAATGAAACTTACGGTGCAGGAATTAATAATATTTTAACAGCACTTGATAAAGCAAAAATTTTCCAAAAGCTTTTATCCATTTTTTAACATTTGGGTAAACGAAATGTTCAATAATCCTATTACTAAACTCCTGCAGAATGTATATAAATATCAATGCCGGCTGTTACAAGGTGCCCCACATGAAATGATAGATAAGAGTGTTTGCTATAACTAATAATTCACAGTTAACAAAAATGGATCTATGAAAAATATTGTTAACATTTTGTATTGATGAATATTGAAATTCGAGGTAACTTTTACAAAAACGTTTCCTAATTTTTTTTACAAAAATTATTAATTGTCTTTCGAAAAACCGATCATTAAATTTATCGATTAAAAGTTTTCTTCCTTTCTTTTCATTGTGAACGATGATTCTAAATTTTCTCCATGTAAGAAGAAGAAATGCACTGAAACTAATTAAAAATTGGAACACAACAGTGACTAGTTTTTGACGCCAAAACTTATTTTTCTCACAATTAGCGTGCTTTTATTGTATATAACGTGTAATATATAGTAGTTTTACTATTAAAACAGTGCAATAAGTAAAATTTTCAATAAAATAATGTCGCACTCCTACTCAAATGCACCGAGTAGTAGCGGCGGTGGCTCAGTGACTGTAGCTGCCACCTCAAGTGGTGGTCGGCATGGTTCCAGCAATAATCCAGCAATTACCTCCCATATCATATCCTCGGGAACGTATAACATATCAGGTGATATGGTAGTTACTTGCAGCAGCAGTACACCCAGTAATCCCAAAGAGAAGCAAACAAAAGCACAGCGCACAGCTATTGCACGTAGGCCCCCACCTACCATTGACAACTTTTGGCAGAATATTATGTCGGATGTGCGTGGTATAAATCAAGTAGATGCAAAGCACCAGGCTTTACCATTGGCACGCATCAAAAAGATTATGAAATTGGATGAAAATGCCAAAATGATCGCAGCTGAAGCGCCGTTATTATTTGCAAAGGCCTGCGAGTATTTCATACAAGAACTTACTATGCGCGCTTGGATACATACCGAAGAAAGTAAACGTCGCACGCTACAGCGTTCAGATATTGCACAAGCCATTGCAAATTATGACCAATTTGATTTTCTTATTGATATTGTGCCACGCGAGGACATCAAACCCAGTACAAGTAGTGGAACAAAGAAAGAATCGCCACAACAAAGTACCACAGTGACAACAACTAATGCTACTCCGGCGGTAATGACTGCTGGCACAGTAACGCTGCCGGTGAAGATGGAAACAGCGGAAGGAGAAGTATTGACATTTGGCGCGCTCAATTCTGATACACTTACAGCGGCAGCAACGGCTAACCAACCGCAGCAGCCTCAACAAACACATGCCACAATACATGCACCGCAACAATTACAAATAATACAGCAACCAACAACAACACAACCGCAACAGTTGCAGTACTTCATTACAACACCGGATGCATTGAATGCAGCACACGGGCAAACTGCAGCGCCACAACAGCAACTGCAGATCATACAGCAGCCAGCGCAGCCGCAATATTTCATAACAACTCATGTAAGAAAAAAAAGAACAACATTGAACATTTAGATTCTAATAATAATATTTATATACTTTAGCAACCACAACAACTCATATTGACCGCTGGCCCGAATGGACAATTCACCGCTACACCTGCGACAGCAAATCCAGCGCAGCACCAACAGGCAACAATTTTGCAAAATTTGGCACAACATCAACAACAACAGCAACCACAAATACAACTACTGCAGCAAGTTGTTACACCGACCGGTGAAGTGACCAATGTGCCCGTAAGTTGTACTTTTTTTAAGTAATATATATGGAAGCACAATACGAATACTCTCTTGTGTAATTTTCAGATCGCTATCAATGCAAATCAACTTAATTTATTACGACTGCAAATGCAACCGCAAGCAACACAACAACTTTTGCAGCTCAACAACGCCACCAATGTACCAGTGACCACTACCTCCCATAATGTTGCAGCCGCTCATGTGCAAGCACAGCAGCAGCACCATCATGTTCACCAACAGCAGCCGCAGCAGCAGCAACAACAACAACATACAAATGCGACAAGCATATTCATAAATGCTACGCCGCAGGCTATCGCAGCGGTACAGCAGCATACGCAACAAGCCCAACAACAGCAGCAGCAGCATCAACAACAACAACAACAACAGCAGCAGCACATTAATGTAGCAGGTGCTACAATTATTGCAACAGATCGTAATTTATCTGGTGGCTATCGACCGAATTGCTAGCCTCCGGAGCTAATCTATCACCAACAAGCACCAACCACATATAATGATTGTTTCGCTGCTGCAGCAAAAGCGCACATAGCGACGCAATACAATAGTGTAAATCATATTTGAGATATGGATATCAGTCTTAAGTTGATCTTTCGTTTATAATTTATGAAATTATCTTAAACTTACATATATATATATATATGTACATATATATACAGAATGTTTATAGGGACTCTGAAAAGTTAGATCGCTGAGATCGCTTTATTGACGAAAGTGACAAAATTTTTTGTCCCAACTTGAGCGCTACGCTAAAGGTAGTAATTTTTTACGAGAGAGAGAGAGAGAGATATCACCTTTCCAAGGGCATTCTCATTGCGTTTGAGTTGGATCTCAAGCTTTATGTCTTCTGCGCAAGCCATGAAGTACAGAATCTATACTTAAAATATTTGAAGTGTATAAAAATCATGTATGTATGTATTGTACAAATATATACTTATGTAATTTGGTTAGTAAATATATTCGTACTTGTAAATAGCAAACACAATTAAAAGGGCCAAATAGATTATAGTGCTAAGTTTATAAAGTCATCAAAACCAATATTACATATATACATATTAAATTTATAAAAGAACGGCAGTAAGCAGGTTTAAATGCAAATTAATTCAAGTCTGTGATTAATTAGCCGCAGTGTATGTGTTTCAAAATTTATAATGCCGTATAATTGTGCATACAAAGTAAATTTTAGAATTAATTGCAAATATATAATTATGTATAATGAATCTTTTAGTATTTGTATTTAGTTATATATTACGAAAAAAAATAACAGAAAATCTTTAGATGTAAATTACGTATGTAAATGTGCAAAAATTTAATACAAATATATACATATATAAAGTAGTCATTTTAAACAAAAATGTGTTTATTTTCATTGCGAGAATATTTTTCGTTTATCAAGGTTAGAACCAGGCGAAGGTGGCAGCTAAGGGAAGGCAAAAAAAAAAGAAACGAACAGTTTCGTCTGGTTCTGAGAACATCCTTGTGCCTTTGAAAGTAGACAGAGAGAGTTATCTAAAAACATCAATTGAAAATAATTCCAAACATCATTTGAAGAGTGACACCTTTTTATATATATATAAAAAAATATGTTTGCTCTTCTTTAAATATTCGTTGACATAACCTCATTTCATGTTGAATTATTTTTATATATTTTTTTTAATGTTCTTTTGTTGAATTTTTTTTATCTATTTCCAATTTTTACCTTTTTCATTAAAACAACAATTTTTTATTGGATATATAAATATATTTATTTTATTTAGTACTTAATACTCAAAAATTAATATCGATATTATAAAATATTATTATTATTAATATGCTTAAATATATTTTAATAATGTTTTTGCCTTTTATGTGATGATTTTGCAGTTCGTTTTTTCATTTTTCTTTATGCATATACCGACAATTGAATTTTAACAAAAACAAAATAAAAACAAAAAACAAAGCAATGCAATGTTCAATAGCATGGCAAATATTAGACACAAAAATGATGGTTTTTTTTTTAAATAGCTAAATTTTTTCCAAAACACTGTTCCGAATATTTCTCGTTTCCACTATAGATATATTAATTATTAATAGTGAAATTAATGTGCTGCAGCTGTTACGGCAAATCATTTGATTGCTTGTTTTTTTGTTTTGTGACTTAATTTTATGATCACTACGCATTCATATTATTGAGTTAATGGGGGTAGGGCGCTAGGTAAATATTTACTTTAATGCTTCTTCACGTTAAATCTAGTGGTGTTAATTGTTTTATTTGTTATTTTTTTTTTAATTATTAAATTTCACTGTTATAAGCGCTTTCGTCTATCATTTCATATTTTTATATATGTATGTATGTTTGCGTGTACGTATGTATGAATGTGTATATTATATTGTTATTGTTATGCAATCATATATGTATGTAGGTTGTTATAATTGTTTTTTGTTTTTTTTTTTCTATATATAAAAAATGTTGAATTTCTCTTACATTTATTGTGTACGAACGACATGGACCAGCACCAAAAATTGTGTGCCTGAGTGTTGCTGTAATATGTATGTAATAGCAAATATGTATGTATGTATGCAAAAGTGTATAATGCTTTGTATGTGACGAGGTTATTGTGAATATATTCAATATTAAATGTTATTTGCAGAATTATCAATTGTTGTAAATATTTTTGTTTGCTTTATTTATTTTTTTATTTTTATTTTTTTTTTTTTATTTCCAAAATATTCTTCTTTTGTCTTTATTTTTACTGCTGGTATAAAAAATTCTGTAAACATTATGGCAATATTTTTATTGAAGTCTTTTCGTTATATAGCGATTTGTAGAAAATTTCATTTTTTCTTTATTGGTTTTTTGTAAAATTCAGTTTATTTTTGCACGAAAACAGCACTAAATTGTAGAACACAAGTACATAGGGAATTTCGCTGAGTAAGGTTATTTTTAGATTTTGTTGAAAGCACACATATGACAAAAGCCGAGCATTGCGTATTTTATTCCAATAAAATTCTTTTTTGATGCTAAATGCACAAAGAATATTTAAAAATTAGCTAAAGTATACATTTCAATTAAAAAAAAAAAAAAAAAAATGCAGCGAAAAAAAGTTAAAAAAAATCATTTGATTTCTGCTATACAGTTTAACTAGTTCAAATCATGTTTTAAGTACGTAGATATTACTGAAAATGCTTGAAAAGTTATTGGTTTCATTTTCCCAGTGCTTATTAATGTGAGACCAACATTTTAAGTTCACAATTATTTCGTCACTTTCAATAAATTAAAAATAAAAAAGACTATAATATACAAACAACTTAAGACATATCCATATGAATAATCCATATGAATAATAAAAGTCGCATTAAAGTTAAGAGCAACAGCAAGAAGCTGCAATGAACTGAATTGACGAGTTTACATTTTTAAACTTTCAGCGAAATTCCCATAAAATACTTGCTACAATTTATTGGTGCTATTTAGAAATCGCTTGATTGTTTGACGGTAATATGTATGATGTATGTGTGTATGTATGTCCATTAAACATGTTAAAAGTTAAAAACCCAAAAAAACAAAAAACATCATTCGAAGACTAGAGAGCAAAAATTGTCTTTGTTTTTATCATTTTGCAGTTTATCTCTTTATAAGTTAAAAAATTTACAATTATAATCATACAAAATAATAAACATAAATATATGAATGTTGTATATATATTATAGAGAGAAAGAATTGTCACACATCAGCTTTGTCATTATTTAATAGTAATTATAATATTAATAATAATTATAAACATTCAATTTGTGTATGTTTTAGTTATCAAGTTATATATTGTAAAATACATTACATAAATTTGTATGCCTTATTTATCGTATGTATGTATGCACGTATATTTTAAAATATCATATCATCATACAAAACTGTGGAGCTCATACACAATACATATTTATTAGTGTATATTTGTATATAAATGAGTAAATTTATATATAATCCATTTAAATGTATTTGTAAATAATCAAGAGGAATTTGCATTTTCATATGGCAACAGTGTAATTAAATGTTTAATCTTTTTTTTTTCATAAATTTAAATACAACATCCGATATTGCTTGAAATAAAAAAAAACCGAAACCACAAATTTCAAGTCAATGCACTTATTTTTTTAATATTTTAAGTAATAAACCCGTCTTGTTTTATATTTTTAATTTTGTCTGCAGAATGCGTAAAAATTTGTCTGTCACGTATTTTTTTTTTTTTTTTTTTGAATTTTCGAATTTTTGGCAAATCTTGAGTATTAATTAAAATTATAAGTTTATTTAGATACTAAATTTCGTTTAGAAAAAGATAAAAGGAAGTTTACAGTTCACATAAATATATTTTTGAACTAACTAAATACATTTATATGCAGTCTTTCATGTTTATACCTTTTTTTGTGATTGAAAACAATTTTGTCCCTGGAAGTTTGTTAATTTTTAGTTACTAATTTTTGTGGAATACACTTAAGATCTTCGCTGTCCCTTTAAGAGGGATATTGTTTATATATAAATATATATATTTGTTATTTTGTTGTTTAACTGTTGCTTGTAAATATGTAAAAAAAAAATATTTTGTTTTGAATGTATGCTTGTGAATGTTCAGTGAATTTTAAAAAGAATGTCAGTTTTAATTATGATATTGTAAGAAAATACTTGCAATTGCATATGTATGTATGTATATGCATATAAACGATATCAATCAAGTTCTCTATTGTTAAGTCTGCGCTATTTTTCACATATACATAAACATTAACTTAATGTAACATACTGCTAAATGCCAGCGCTGAACAGCTAACTGACTACTAATGTCCTCATACATACACGGTTTGCCGCCTGCTTATTTGCCCGTGATATTTATTTATTTCTTGATAAATATATTTATTTGACCTTTTTGCTGATCAACATATTTAATCTTCTTGCCACTCATTTTCATCGACACCCTCCATATCATCCTGCTCCAGTTTAGTATTGTATTCCAGGCGGGCACTCACGGATTTTTGAATCTGAAAAAGGAAGTGATGTTTGAAAATTGAGAATTTGCTTGGAATATTCGTCGAATTTGTAAACTACCTCTTGTTGTTTATTTTTCTCAAATTCCGCCCGTGTCATTGCGCCACCACTGCTACCATTTCCCGCATGCTCCAATTTCTTGGCGGGCGCCACTTGTTGTATGGAGGATACTATAGAAGATTAATTTAAAATACAAAATACGTTTCAATTTTTATTTTTCATTATTATTCAAACAATTATAATCTCATTTTATTTTTATTTTTTTTACTTAATTTTATTTTTACATATAATTTAATTTAATTTTACTTTATTTTATTTTTTTAATTTTGTCTTATTTTATTTTATTTTATTTTATTTTACTTTATTTTATTTTATTTTATTTTATTTTATTTTATTTTATTTTATTTTATTTTATTTACTTTATTTTTTATTTTATTTTATTTTATTTACTTTATTTTTTATTTTATTTTATTTTATTTACTTTATTTTTTATTTTATTTTATTTTATTTTATGCTTATTATTATTTTTGGTTAAACAATACTTACATGCTTCCATGCCTTCAGGCTGTAAACTCAGTTTTGTTGGTTTCCGATCATTACAAGCAAACCACTCATCCGCTGACATTGTGGGCTTCCATGTGACACGTGTTGGCGGAAACAGGTCATCTTGGAATAGTTCGCTCTGCAAGAAAGAACGTTTTAAAAACAAGTTAACCAAAAATTTCGTGCAACCTTTCCCTTTCCTTACCTTAATACGTGGCACAGTGAAGCTTAATGGCTCAATAGTTGTGTTGGTTAATCTATACGCTTTTGAGAATTCCACACTTGCTACATCACAATGATTTTTGGTGAGAAAACTCAAGCCCTGATGCAGTGAAGTACAACGATGATGGGATAAGGGACAAATATATGGTTCCTCATCTGTAATCTCATAGCAATAAATGGTGGAGTCACCTTTGCCCGTCACAAACAATGTCGAACTGTCCTCATCGTAGTAAGGTATTAGTATGGATGGGGAGACATCTAGACTGGCCATATTAAGTGGCGCATTTAGCTTTTGTGCGTTATATACGCTTATTTGGCGTTCAGAGACTCTGAAAAAGATTTTATTTATTAAAGCATTATTTTTGTTTTTAATCAACTTCCTGCGTTTTTTCATGCCACTATTCAGTTTATATACTCACTTATCAAAACCAGTACAAACAATGTACTGACCCTCCAACGCCCATGTGATACGCGCTCCCCGCGTACCCACCGGCCCATTGCCCTCGCGTATGGGCGTCTCCGATTTGCGTGGATTGTATACGCGCAATTTGCCATCCTTGCAAACAGTTGCGGCCAATTTACCACAGGGACTCCAAGCCAAATCGAATATTTGGTCTGTGTGGCCCGTTAGTAAGATTTTCTCTTCCAAAGTACGTAAATCCCATAATTTAACTGTCATATCATAGCTAGCGGTTAAAAGTACATCTTCAGCCAAAGGATGAAAACGTATGAAGTAAATTTTATCCAAATGTGCAATCAATTCACGTTCTGGTGTATTTGTCGGTTCATTAAGTCCACCCTCGGGTATGCGCCATAACTTCACAATGCCATCATCACAAGCAACTGCTAAGCGTGACGAATCGAAAGGATCCCATTGGAAATCCATAATGTTACTGCCATTCACCAACGACGGTATAACACCGTCCGGTAAACGACCCGGACGACTCAATTCAAATATGGCGATCTTCCCACCGGGACCTGATAAGGGTACGGCGACACGTTCATGATTAGCATGGAAACCGTTACATTCGCCCGGTATCTGACGACTTAGATTACGTAGATTTTCAATATGTGTCGATTTGTGACCGGTGGTGCCTTTCAAGTGGCGGAATTTCGAAACTTTGCCAAAAACTGTGGAGGTGCGTTTATGGGTCGTTGTGATGGCCGCCTCGGTGGCAGATTTCTTAATGGCAGCGCCACCATCGACAGCGGTAGTAACATTGCGACGACGCTCCTCCAGCAGCTTGCCTTCTGGTGCAGAAATGCGTTTTACATCGGCTATTGGAGCGGGCAGAGAGGCCTGTTGTTGTGGCTTAAAAGGTTCGCCTTTGGAGAGTTCGCGACGCCTGAATGGAAATTTATTTATTTTATAGAAATGGAATGACATTCGAAATCGTCTCTGATTTATGTTTATTAATTCATATTTATATATTTATTTTTCTTCGATTTCAATACTTACAATGGCACTGGCGATTGCGATTTCTCCTCCACCGTACTCTTCGAACGACTCTCATATAAACGACGACGCTCAGCAATACTGCTGCGTGCTGCTGAGAAACGTCTCAATTCCGCATCTGGTTTATCGTCCCCCTCCGTAGAGTTCTCTGAGGATTCAGAGTGTGTTTGTTCGAAAATCTATACAAAATTAATTGAAATATTATTTTACAACTCAAATTACTAGACAGAAAAACTACAAAAATTTTAGGAAAGTAACCTTGTCGGGCGACTCATCAGCATCAGCCGAGGACTGTAGTGTTGTAGAGTGTGAGTGTGTGTGGTTGCCAAAATATGGTTAGCAATTGAAGGAAAGAATTAATTGGGTGAGAGCACATAAAATAAATTGTTAGTTAAGAGTTAGTTACATAGATTCCAGACTAATTTCAATTTTGTTCACTAAGTGGGTCCAATTATTATTAAAAAAAATTTTTTTTCAAAACAACTACTAACATACCTTACGACGTTCGGAGGTCGACAAAGTCTTCTGTACATTGCCATCACCGGCGTTATCTGTGTTTGGTTCTGTTAGATGAAAACAAATTAAATAAACAATTTTTAAAAATCGTGGAAATTCAAGCAAATGCCGCAACTTACTCTTAATTTCGATTTCCACAATCAAGTCCGGCTTGCTTTGTGCTGTGGTAGCGGTTGGTGTCGGTGCTGCGGGCGGAACAAAATTATCACCGCCATTATTATCAGCTGTGCCACCTGCTGTAGAAGCGTGATGTATATTCTCTTGTGAGCCCGGAGCGACGGGCACAGCGAATACTTTATCGAACGAAACGTCGCCTGAATTGCTAGAGAAGGGTTTAGGACCAAGGCGTGGCTGGTTGGATGAGAGTAGTAAGCGAATTAAGTTTATTATTCTAGAAAAATTGTTAAAAATTCTATACAATATGGACATGTGAAAAGGTGACATCTAAAAAGTGGCGAAAACAAAAGGCAAATAAAGTGTAGAAAGTGGACTCGTGTAAACATAAGGAGCAGGAAATAATAAATTTAAAAAAATAGACACAGCTTTTAAGCACACAGTTACTCAACACGTTGGTGCATGTGCGAAAACAACAACAAAATCAACAAAGAATGTGCAATGAAGTTGCAAAAACCACAATTGCACAACTGAAAATACAAAAATAACTGAAACGGAGCGATATAATAGGGATTCAATACTACAAATGTTTTTAAATTGAAGTGCAGATTATATTTTAATTTGATTCTAACTCCATAAATAGTTTTTGAATAAGGAATTTATAAAATTTCACCGTATTCCATGCTCAATATCACACTACATTTTCCTTCAAAAGGTCTGAGATTTATTACAATTGAGTTTCGGAATACAGTGAGCTGCTTAGGTTTTTAGGCTCAAGAAAAATTAAATTTTATAACAGTTATTGAACTAAACTATGATATTGGAATCGATCCTCAGTCTGAAGTTTTTCGATATACATAAGTATCTATTATTGAAAGCCACTCAAACACTTTTGATTTTAAACTTCTTTTTAAATTTTTCAAAGCTTTAATTTTTTGAGCGGCGAATTTTTAAAAAAATAAAAATTTTAGCATAAAATTTTGAATATATAAATAAGTTTATCAGTTTACTACAAGCTTTCTAAGCGCTGAGAAATGTTAGAAAAAATTAGCCGCTAATAAAATGTCAAAGTAGCGCTCTCTCGGTGTAAATTTTGACTGGCTTTTTGCCTCACCGAACAGAGCTATTGTCTAAATAGACTGCCCTGCGGATTAGGGGCTCAGGAATGTACCGTTGCCTGTCGTAAGCGGTGATTAAAATCCAATAGTTCCAGCGACAGTTGGCTGTTTATACCGGAACGACCCGGATTTTAATCGGACCAAGTCACTACCGCAATATTCCCCGAAAACCAATTTAGCGGTTATAGCAAAAACAACATTGTGTACAAATTTCTAACTAAAATCTTTTATGATTTTTTTTTTTCACAAAAAAAGTCCACCAAAATTCTGCAAAAATATGACAAACTACTCTGCGCTACTATTCTTCTCTGCACTTCAATTTAACACCTTACAGCTGACCATACACTGTCAACCATATTTTTAACTACCAAAAAGACCTGCACACCTTGTAAGCGGCTGCCGCTGTAGTGCGCGGACGTGGACGTGGCGTAACCTCATCGCCAGCGACGCCACCTGTAACTGCAGCTGTTGTAGCCGCATCGCCTAGTGAATTATTGCGCGAGGTACGTGGCATCGGACGTGGTGGTGAGGTTACACCACTACCAACACTACCGCTACTACCCTCACGTTCGCGCTGTTGTTGTTGGTGCTGCGAAGGTGAAGATAAATCACCAGCAGTTGCTATTGAAGCATCCTCGCTGCTGCCAGTCGACTCATCAGCAGGCGATTCACGACTGAAACGACGTGATAATTCTGTTTCCTTGCAATCTTTCTCCGAATCAGTTTTATATTTATTATCGAATTTACGCAACAGCTCCGATTTGGTAAATCCCACACTAACAACGTGATCCTCCTCGGTTTTCTCCGTTTCGCTTGTTTTAACGATGTCCTCTTTATCATTTTCTATGCTCGTTTTCATTGCAAAATGTTTATTACCCGTACCACCATTACGTTGTTGTACAACATTGCCAGCGACCATTGGATTACTGGGTGATTTAAGGGTTTGTTGTGGTGGTGTTTTATTTGATACTTTTTTATTTTCAATATTTTTAATTAAATCATTCAAATTACCACGATGCACCTAATAGTCCGTAGAGGTGGTTGAATGCAACAGTTTTAGGGTTAAAGTTTGTAGATAGAAATAGAGATTGGAAACAAGACAAAAAATGAGTACGAATAGTGGTGGTGGATACAGAGAACAATTAAATGCGTAGTATAAAATCGAAATCGCATATATACACATATATGTATTACTAACGCGTATGATGACCAATGAATATATTAAAGGAAAGCCTCATCAACTTACAATGATCGGCTGATCGCCTAATTCGCGTTTGGCGGGATCCAAACTCATCTTGGGCACCGGCAAGTTAGCGCCACTAAACCATTCACTGGCCGTTAGTTCCGTCTTATAGCCGGTAGTTTCGGGATAAAGATCGCTATGGAAGTCACGGTAAGTCTGCAAAACGAAAAAGAAGAAGCACAATTTGAAAATTCTCATTTTAATAATTATTGTCTCCCAACCCGTACGCACCTTGCGTGGCACCTGATACATAATGGGTATGACCATATTAGAAGTCAATTGCAGTACACGATTCACCTCGCCCTCCATTACTTTCAGCGCACGTTTGGGCACCAAACAAGCGCCCTTCGTCTGTTCGCCGGTATGACGTAGACCTTCTGTGAGATAAGGATCTTTGTCGCTCACTTCCAAATAATTAATGGTTGTGTCACCCTTTCCAGCAAGGAAGAGCATATTCGTGTCGGGATCGAAAAGTGGCATTAAAATGCCTGTGGAACAGTCAAGTTCCAGTGTCTTTTCTGGCACTGCAAAGTTACGCAAATCACGTATGATCACCTGACGCAAACGCGCCGAATCGAAACCGGTTGTCAATATACGTGTCTGGTTGCCCAACCAAACGACGCGTGAGTCCTTAATACTCTGATGTGATTCGGCGACCATTTGAATGGGTGAGTCGGCGATGCGTGGATCCAAAATACGCACATTCTTATCTTTACAGCTGGTGGCGAGTGTGGTGCCATCCTGCTTCCAACTCACCGATTGTATGACTTCGGGATGTTCATTATTAGCTATAAAAAAAAGTGTATAAATTGCATTATTTTCTGAAGCCTACAACAACAATTTCTCTTCGCTCGTCACTTACAAAACATTTCCTTTTGTGTTGTTATATCAAAGAGCGTCACACAGCCGACAGCAGTAGAGTGCAACAAACCATCGGCAGTGGGATGAAAACCAACTGTCTCTACACGCCGTTGCTTATGTGAAAAAACGCATTCGGGATCCGAGAGTGATGCCTCCAAACCCTTTTCGGGTATATGCCAAATTTTTACGAGACAATCTTGCGACGCTGTTGCCAGTAGACCATCATGGAATGGTGAAAATTCCAAATCAGTCACTGTATCAGTGTGGCCGTGCAGCAATGGCATAGTTTTACTCTTACGCCCACAATCATCCAACGGTAAAACTGCAACACTTGAGCCGGTATGTTCCCAATTGAATGCCATGAATGCGGCTGAGGCGGCTATGTTATTACCAAACGTTTGGTAGGAGCCGACACAAATGTCGCGTATGCATGCCTCCGGTTTGGGTACGATCGGTGCGGCATTCTTGTATTTCGATGCTTTAAAGCGCCACGCCATCTTGTTGGGGTAACCGCTTACTCACTCAATAGATGACTTTCCTCCTCTTTAATTGTCTTGATAGCTGTAAAGAGTAAAGACCAATTGAAAACATTAAGACACATTGTACATATATCTAGAAGCGCAAAAGAAGATGTAGCTCTCGGTCGCTGAATCGAAAGAGAAGCTCCCACTTTGAAGGGCAGCTTGAACTGAAATTTCAACTTCAGCAACCAATATTAGATAGGCGTAAATAGAAGATGATAAAACCGGAACAAGCATTAGAGCTCGAATACCCATAGCTTCTGGTGCTGTAAGAAGGAAAGACGACTCTGACTAGCTGGTTCTTATGACCAGAAAAGCTTCTATTTAACCACAAAAAAAAAAACACACCAAACCGCGAATGAGTCCCGGTACTTTTGAAAACGAGCTCAATAAACGCGAAGACACCTCGGACTAGGAGAGGCAGACAAGTAGTATCACTGTTCATCACGGAAGACGTAACATTTATGATGCTACGGGACGATCTAAAAGCTAGTACTACATGCCAAACTGTAATCTGGTTTTGGACAATATAGAATTTAACCAGCTCAATGAGCCGTGGGGCAGATACTAGGTGGTGAGATCCTTCTGGAGGGTTAGTGAAACTTCGCTCCATCTCAGTAATGCAATTCCTGCACACGGTGGCTGCATTAACCGATTTTCATGCCCCCGAAGTTTCCAGTAGATGGAAATAAAATCATGTTATTGTTGTTGTAGCAGCAAAAATATTCTCCAAATTAGAATATTGCGGAAGTGATAGTCCTTGGGGGTAAAAAAAATCCGGCTTGTTCCGATATAAGGACCCGACTGTTGCGGGGACACAATAGATTTATAGTCGCCTCTTACGACAGGCATGCCTTATTACGATAAATTTCCTAAGCACCCGCAGTGTTTAAAATGAAATCATCTAAGAACTTTCTTATGAACTGTTCTGCGTTCGCGAGACTGAGGCTGGTCAAAATTCTGCTGAATTTACCAAGGCAAACGGCATGCGGTTTGGCATAAATGCGTGGCTCGATAAGGGAAATTGCGTCGAAACCGCGCAGACGAATAAATATAGCGCCAACAAAAATTAAAAAAAAAAAATTCTTCAACTCGAACTCTGAGATTCCGCGCGTTCAACTTGACATTTCTTTTGCATTCATTTTTAATTATTTATAATCTCTCTGACTCATTGTTCGGTGCCGACGCACTGTTTGACATCTAAAATAATTTCCCAATTAAAATAATATCACAACTCGTGCAATTCAAGGCAATTATCCGACGCCACTAACAACATAGAGCAGCGCACTCACTAGACAACAACAATAACAATTCAAAATAACATAATAACATATAGATATGTAGATATACATATGCATACAATATGAATGTACTCGTCAGTATGCGTAAAAGGCCAATTAATGTCAGCCTCAAGTGAAATAAAATGTCAACTGAGCCGAACTACTGAAACTAAAATAGGAAATTCCTCGTAACGTGTAGGTGGATGGAAGGCGCCACACGCAACCCGAACATTGCACGCATTCGGCAGTGCACCGAGTTCTTCAGTGTGTTTGTTTGTTTGGTGCTTCCTCTTGTCTTTGCCACGAACGCAGGGAAAACAAACAAAAATGCGAAGGCACAGTAAAAGCAGAGCGACCTAATAGCCGGTGTAAGGAAAATGACAAAATGAGAACACAATGCGGAGAAGATAAAAACAAATGAAAAGAGCCAAGCAAGCGACTCTGTGGCAAATGCGTGGCATATACGCTTAATTATGTATGAATACATGTGTGTATGTATGTATGTATGTATGTATATATGTATGCATATAATAGTTGTAATAACCAAATATGGTTACAATGCCACCACTAGAGCGCAAGCCGGCCGGTTGTGGCGAGGGTAGTTCACTGCCTTTGCTTGCATGTGCATATACATACATATATGTATGTGTTTACATACATATGTTTATATGTACGAGTATGTAGTTGTAGCTGCTCTGCCTTGCGCGTTTATTTTAGTGCAGCGAGCAGATAGGTGTAAGCAAGTACGTGACGGCGGGCAAGTGTGAATTATGCCACCACCACCGCTAACATAAGCAGACAGAGCCGCTTTCTACACTTTTGCCGACGACATTATGAACCCCAACGCACTATTAGCGCAACAACACCACCACCAACACCACCAACCAACCACTCAGTGGGTAGGCTGTTGAAAACTTTGCGCTTCCAACCAAGCGAGTCAAGTAGCAAAGGCCGAGTCGCTTAAAATTAGATACACAAAGTACATAAGCATATTTATGGAACTGCTGCTGCTGCTGCTGCTTCTGAGGCACCATCAAAATGGTCTTTGGCGCCGGTTATGACCGCCAACTACCAAATCTTCATTTATCATTTAGGCTTTCGTGGCGTTGCGCTGCGGTATTATTGAGCGAAGCAGCGAGAAAGATTCTAAAATTTTTTCGTGTAAAGAGCAATAAAGTTCTCAAGCTGTAACGATTTTCGGCGGAGCTCCTCCTTGGATTTGAGGTAAGCGTCTTGATGTCTTCCAAACAAATGGAGGGGCCGACAGTTTATACTAAGCAGCTTCCGAACGTCCGATGGATTTGTGTGAGCAACTTTAATTTCATGTGAGAAATACACACGGAGAGCTTGACACTCGCTGCCGAGAATTGGCTAACTAGAAGAGAGTAAAATAAGGGTTGGGGTTGGTTTCATCGAGCGTATGCTTTTGGAAACCAGCTGTTTAGAAAGAGTTGGACATGAAAGGAGATGTTAGACGAATAAGTTGGAAAAAGTTGTTTAGTTTACAGCAGGGCACATTGCTTTAACGATAAATGTGTCTTAAGCTGGCTTTGTGCCTCTATAAAGTTCTTCATCTGTTTTACAGCTCTCTGTCATTATTTATCGGACGCGCAGAGTCGAGGGAGAACTAAAATTTTCAATATCGAAAGTTGTACCCGAAAATTGGTCTGACCTCAAAATTTTTGTATGCTTTTACGCTCAGCATGGAGGCGCAATGGACCACTTGCAACTTGAAATTTAAAGCTGTCGACAGAAGCGCTTTGCATCTTGGCTCTCATGTCACTGTTGACCGCCATAACTTTGAAATTTAGATTAGATTCTAGTTCTCGAAAGATAAGACTTTTTATTAAAGTCTGAATAGGGTAGACGATTGAAAAGCAAAGGAGGAAGAGAAAGATTTTGAAAGCTCGAGTGGACAAGTGCCAGGCCTCACATGTTCTCCGAACAGCTATTGTTGACGTGTCTATAATAAGAAAGCGGTTGCCTACCGATCAATTAAACAGAAGGCTGAAAGGTACCCAGATTTGGTACCCAGGGAGTAGCATTTCGGTTTTGGAGCTTAGTTTTTAATTATGAAAAATTTCTACATTAACTTCACTATTCAGCACAATCAAATTCAAGTTCTCGATGTTAGTCAGGAATGCAACGCAAGCCATTTTTAGTCCTCCTACAGTTTTTTTTTCGATTTTTATGGCCTTGCCATTAGGCGTACGCATTTAGAAAAAATAATTAAAAATTAATATGATATATTTTTGGTGGTGTTCTCAGCTTTTAAATCCAGCGCAGAATCACTCTTACCCACAGGTGCTACTTTGGACTAAGCAGGAAATTGAATAGTAAAGTCCTCTCCCGTCGAACGAAACCCAAACTCTACAAGTCCCTCATCGTTCCCGTCTGATGAGTCGGCGTTGGGAGTTTTCGAGAGAAAGGTTTTGCGCAAGATTTCTGGTCCTTTGCGCATTGACAACGGAACGATGAGCTGTACGAGTTATATGACGACATTGGCATAGTTCAGAGAATTAAGAAGCAGCGGCTACGCTAGCTAGGTCATGTGGTACGTATGGATGAGAATAGTCCAGCTTTAAAAGTTTTCAATGCAGTACCCGCCGGTGGCAGTAGAGGAAGAGGAAGACCTCCAATCCGTCGGAAAGACCATGTAGAGAAGGACCTGGTTGAAGGGCGCAATGTTGTTAAGTCGGCTATAATCGCGTAAGCGGTGTCTACGCTACTAAAGTAAGTAAGTTTTGGCCAGAACCCGAACACATGAACTTCCACATGGCAGGATGTGCTGTTAGCTAATCATCTAATGCGACCTTTATTAAGTGATTATACTTCTTAAAGACGATCTGAGCACTAACTTTCGAAGCACAGTTTTCCTTGTTTGAAACTTTAGCCTACCAACGAGCGACTCATTGGACTTTTTAAAAAGCCTGCTTTCTTTAATGTTTCTAGAACTCGCAACCCACAAGTGACAAATATCTAGATTTTTTCAAAATTTATCTTCTCTATTTAGTTTTCTGTCCAAAACTTGTCGGACAACAAAACGGTTGAAGAGAACACAATCTGTCATCTTACGAACCCGAATCTCTGGTGGAACAGCCATTAAAAGACCGATATATGTACATACTTCCTAATAAAAATAATGATAATCGGTTTTCATATACGTTAAAAAAAGGAGGTTAGGACAATGTAGAAATGATTGGGACTCAATCAGTGACATGAGTCTTTCAAAAGCAACAATGCTTGGATTATTCGTGGAATACTTCGTCTCCAGAGCAAAGCTGTTTGACCTAGAATAATACACCGGGGGCGCGACTCTGTGAGAATTTCAAAGCTCGAATTGTTATTCACTGTCTTCCTACAGCTCTGATACAGCAGCTATACTTTTAGCACTCACGTCAAGTTTTTTCAAAGTAATGATCCCAGGATTGGTGATCATTGCTAAACAAATAGAAAATTCCCACTCAAACCATCTCCTGACTACTGCCTGTCTGAATGGAGATGGCTAAAAGAAATCTGTTCTCATCAACGCGTCACTAATCACTTCACTATATCAATGGATGCGATTTCTCGCTCTCCGCACTTCTGCTGGTCATTAACAGACGGATGAAATGGAAAACCTATTTCATTTTTATTTTTATTCTCGAATTATGAAAACAACAAAGCACCAACAAAATGCCAGCCAAAACAAGACTGACAAACAACTAAAAATGTTAAAGTCCAGGGGGTCCCTTTGTAAGAGTTTATTTTGACGCGGCTA